TTTCAGCGGCCTATAGGGTTTTTTTTTTTAATTATTTTTGTGGGTAAAATAAGCATTTGCTGGCCTAAACAAATAATAACAGAATCATAATGTGGTTTATAAGAGTGCGGTGAGGGTTCTTATGGCTTAAAATACATACAAATAATAAAACAAACCTTCATGGATTTCATCTATGCTTTTAATCTTTATGTAATGTTTTTAGTCCTTTGTGCTCGTTTTTGATCTCATGTCATGCTTCAGCTGCTATTTCCAGGATCAAAAAGTGCTCTGGCACAATTTTAATGCCAACATTGAGAAGAAGTCCTTTAAATTGAACATCTCCAGACATTTTAGAAAATGAATACTGAGATAGAGATGGACCGATCCGATATTACGTATCGGTATCGGTCCGATATTGACCTAAATTACTGGATCGGATATCGGAGAAAAATAAAAAATGTAATCCGATCCATTAAATATCACGAAAGCACCTCACAAAACTTGCAACACGCCGTAACTCACCTCAGAACGTTAGCACGTCGGAGCAGTATGCATCACGTGATAGAGCGGCTGTGGCATGCGGGACCTGTCGGTGGTCTGGATAGCATGTGGAGCTTCGCTAGCAACCCGGCATTTCATCTCCAACAAAGTTATCCCCGAGAGAAGTAAAGCAAGTGTGTAAGTCCATCTCTGAATGTTTGTAAAGCATTCCTGCGTTAAGCTTAACGAGCGACTGCCTCTCGCTCCCGGCTGCTACTTCAATCGTGAAACTGCTAATGATCAGCTGATCGGCTTTTCTGTCGCGAGTCTCTCTTGTTTGTTTTTGGTCCACTTTGCGCCAGAAAGAGGAAACCAGCGGCTGAACAACAGCAGCACGTTTAAGCTTGATAAGCTGTTGTTACAATTTATTTAATATTACTTTCTACACCAGGATCGTTTTCTACGTAGCTGACGGCTGGTAACTGTGCAGGGGCGGATCTAGCAAAGTTTAGCCAGGGGGGCCGATAGGGCATAACAGGGAAAAGGGGGCACAAAGACATACTTTTCTTTCTTATTCTCATTTAAAATGTCTAGCTTTTAATAAATAATTATCTGAATCTACACCAAAGTTTTAATTTGATGTAAAATGAATAGAAGTCAATTACTGTATATAGTAACTATTAAGTCTAATATATATACCCTAGTAAGCTATAGTACTTTTTCCTTTGGGAAGGTACCATCTGTGCAGTCTGCAATTTTGTTGAAGAAAGATGTTGAATCTATTTAATATTTCTTGAAAAATAATTGATTTCTGTGCATTTTTTTTCACACTGCATCAAATTAAGGTTGATTACGTCGATTAAGCATCATGAGGTGGAGCGTGAGGGGTGGTTCCCTATTTTTTATTTATTTATTTTTGTTGTTGCTGGGAGTTGGAACCCTATTAGTTAGGTTGCTTAATATTTACGCTAAGTACTCTTTAAAATACCAGAATAGGGAGGATGGTGTAGGTCTAAGTTTATTAGATTGATCAGTATTGCTGAACTATGAAATATTTTTTTTGTATACAGGTATAACAGAATAGCTTTAGTGTAGTTGTTGTTTTAAACTTGAGTATGAACTTGCAGACTTGCAAAATGCAGCAAGATATTTTAAAAAACAGTTTTGTTGATTAAAAAACTATATCGGATTCATATCGGTATCGGCAGATATCCAAATTTATGATATCGGTATCGGTATCGGACATAAAAAAGTGGTATCGTGCCATCTCTACTGAGAGGTGCTGAAGCAGTGTTCATTTGTAAGTGAAAGTAAAGTAAAAAGCCTTCAAATAATTCAAAAGCCTTCATATCAAGAATTAGAGTGCACCAAACACATTTTCCTTTAAGATAAAAAAAACACTTTGATTTGATATATTTCAGTTCAAAATAATCATTTCATGTTTATGAAGGCCCAGAAGAATTTTCTTTAGACACTTCTGGCTTCAGCAAAACCAAAATTGTAATGGCTAAAAAGCTCAAATCCAAGTGGTGGGTACATCCATCTTTTATCTACAGTCTATTGACAAACCTCAAACTGTCACATAATAAAATAATAATCGATAAGAACACGTAGATCAAGGTTAGCTGCTGTACGATAATTGTAAGCGACACAGAGACCCGGCATGCGTGCAGGTTTGGTCTCCGTACGGCGGCGTAAAGGCTGTTTGATGACACGTGACCAAGAAAACAGGACGGTGAGCAGCTGTACGTCCGCCTTTCACACCGCGTGAAAGAGAAGAAAGAGTCGGAGCGGGAGGAGGAGGAGTGGAACTGCAGGAATGTCTTTCACATGCAGAAATGTTTTGTGTGTGTTGCCCTGCAGCTGACCTCTGACCTTTCACCTCTGACACTGTCCTGTAATCAGACCTTTCTGTCCACATGAATGCCATATAAACTGAGCATAATGAAAAGTAAATCTTTGCCCTGTTGTAGTTCTTAAATCAATTTTCTTCTTTCCACTCATGGCCGGATTTACCTCCTGAGGGGCAAAGATTTCTTCTAGGGCCCCTCGTGACCCCCTTTTATTATTTCCCCAGACGTCCACAAAGAAACCGGTACAGAAAGATTAACTGACGTGTCAATTGACAGAAAATCAATGTGCACCACTGTGATAAGTGAATTATTGTTTAACCCTGATCATTCATCCCCTATTTCTTACTAACAAAGGCCAGAAGCTTGGGAGCAGTTTGTTCGTTGGGCTCTTACAGTGAAGACAGTGAACAGCAATCAAGAGGCTTTGTGCTTTCAGGTGATTCATAATTGAGACTGATGCTTGTAAAAATACATCATCTGGTCTGTATTCAGCTTGGAAGCGTTAATGAATCATATTTAAGGAGAAATGCCTCAAAATCACAGCTCTCTTCAGCCCAGATGAAGCCTTTGTTTTCTGTCTATACACGTTTCCTTTCTGTGATGTGATCGTTTGAAGGAATGAATGCACAGAAAACCTGGGGAACCTTGTCCTGCAAAAAAGTATTGTTCAAATGCGAGACATGTCTTACCAACCTGTACTGGTCTTTTGTGATAAAGAGAGAGAAGCCTAAAGGAGAAACTGGTCAATTCACCAAACGAACAACGTTACAGCGGTCGGTGATGACTGCGAGCTGCAGGCAGTGACTGAAGGAGTGAGATCGTGTGTATAAGCAGCAGAAACTAGCTTCCTGTCCAGGCTCTCTGTTAGAGGTAGGGTGAGGAGCACAGAGCTGCTAGTCCTCAACATTGAAAGGAGCCAGATAAGGGGGATGAGGCATCTTAGATCTCGAGGCCTCCTGAGATCCTCCAGGTGAGGGGTTTTGGGCATGTCTGGCTGCGAGGAGATCCACTGATAGTTGGATATTGTTCAAATTTAAGATGCATTTTTGAGTGTGTCTAATTTTACCCCTCTCTTGTTCATCTGGATTCTTAAATATTATAAATAGAGAAGCAGGTAGACGTGGGCTTTTGCACAAAGCAGCAACAGAGTGGAAGAGTTAAGTTCCTGAGGACTCCAGGAAATACCTGAGTCACAACGACGGGCGGGCTGCCACTGCTCTGTTTCTCTCCATGTGCTCGACACCCTGCTGCAGAGGATTAAACATAACTGCCAGTAGAACGAATGAGAGCCATAATGCTTGTAGAGACAAAAATCTTGCACTTTACCCTCAAATTCTGCAAATGTATATGCTGATATCTGGCCACAGAAGAAACATACGCTTTCAATTACTATGTGCCACATGTTGCTTTTTCATTTTTGAAGTCCAGTAAAGAAGATTTTTCCAGGTGCTGGAGTGAGCGTTAACTGGTTATAAGAAAATGTACATTATATCTGAGTAAACACATTCCTGAAGTCAGAGTTTAATATTATGATTAAAGAATGCAGAAGTATTAAATGTTTCCATCCAGGAAACGGTTTGCAGGCATTATTTTCCCCTGTAAAACAGTTTTTCAGTGAGGTTTCGCTAATTTAATTGCCTGATTGCTGATTGTTTCAGCTCTTGAGTGTTGATTAGTGTGCTTTTGGTATCTGTGGAAATAATGTCATGTACAGTTGGGGTTCACAGGGGCACACACACCCCTTTGGGGGGTTAATCCAGCTTCTAGTTTCAGGGTCGTAGTGACGTTTGATGAATGACCCTGAAGACTGAATTGAACCTGCAGGGGTGGAAGACTTTAATGAAGTGTAAAAATCCAAAAAATGTAGTTACGTTTTCACAAATTAAGCTGATGTCTGTGTTTTTGGGTGGATACAGTGCAGATGTTGACTTTTTGAGCAGGAGCTCATCTGACTGGCTTATATACTTTTGGGTAGTTTAATCTATAAAATTATATACAAATAATTAAGATTTTTTTTATATAAGAAACTAAAACTAATCTAGTGCAGTAAAACATTTCCTTTAAACGGTAATAAAACAAACTGTAAGAAATGTAACGTTCAAATTACAGGAGATTAAACTGTTGTTTTATAGTCGTTCTACTCTAATCTACTGCTTTCTTACTGTTGTATAGTATTATATTGTCAGTGCACTGTAATAATACTGCAAAAATACTGTAAAATGTAAGTGCAATTCATCAGCCAAGTACCAGGAGTGTTCACAGGATTTTTTTTTAAGTCAGAGCTAAGTACCAACCCAGAACACATGAGCACACCAGGAGAGAATGTGAGTGAGTTATTCAGACCTCTGACTTCCATGGATATGGTGTTATTGGAACTAAACATAGCTGTAAATATGTTTGATTTTATTGCACAGTAGAAGTAAAGAGAATTAAAAATGTCAAAATGTGCCGTTTTGTGCTGTAAAATGAGCAAAAAGCTTTCAGTACGTAATGTTATGTGCAGCGATTCTTTAACCCTTCGTTGTTTCAAACAGAATGACAAAAAAGACATCCGGTTGCGTGAGAAAACAGTTTTCAGCTCCTTAATCTGTGACTTTAGAGAAAAACTTCTCAGTGAGTTTATGGTCTCATCTGGTAGTTTTAAGTTTTACTGAATCCAATATGGCATTCACTTTGCAGATTATGGTCCCAGTTAGAGTCAGAGGGAAATGTAAAGGCATGTTCTTGCAGGCGTGACTTTTCCTTTGGTTTCACTTTCAGTTAAAGCAGAAGTCCATAGTTTCGGGGCTCAGATGGGATTTTACCAACCAAGCTGTGTGCTGTCCCTGTGTGAGTCGTCCCTCGTTGAACTAAACACAGCACAAGTGAAATCATACCTGTAAAATCGCCACTTAACATCCATGAAGTTATCAATAACCTGCCTGGGATTAAATTAAGGTCAACATCAAGTCTTTTCAGTCATCTTGGACAGAAGACCTTTAAGACCAAAATGCACGAAACAGTTATTTGAAAGCTCTGATCTTTCTTAAAAGCTACAACCAAAACCTAAAGAGGTCACAGGTGACGTGATAGCAGTGATGTTGTTATTGTACAACTGTTTTTGAAAGATTTTTTCTGATTTACGTGTTTAGAAAAATCGTCTTAAATCATCTCAAAACCACTGATCCTGGTCTCTAAAATGTAAAGATTTGAATTTACTTTAATGGAAACTTATCATTTTTCCTTGTTTTTGCTTGTTTAAACCCTTTGAATTCAATTATTTGGCATGTAACTGAAGAGGAGACACTTGAACCATCATTTAAGGAGATAAACTGGACGGATTTTGGTTTCATTTTCTTCAAGAAGCCACAACTTGAGGTGTAAATCAAGCTGTTACCTGCAGAAAACACACAAGAAGGCAAAGAAAGCTGTTTCTCAGTTTGGTCTTTATTTTTTATTTTTTTTTATTTATTTGGACATTTAGCAAAATACTGCAGAAACATCCAAAGCAGTATAAGAGCTAAGGGTTACAACAAAACCAAAATAAATAATCATCATCATAATAATAAATTAAAACATGATTGCATTCGGTTTGTCTTCAGGAGCGGCTCACTGATTGCTATAATGCCACATGAACACGCCGCCCTCACATAAGTTAAAGGAAATAAAAAGGATTTGGCTACATGATGAAAAAACACAGCGACAGATCACAGGTTCGACCACACAAAGCAGTAACTTACACAAATAATTTAATAAATACATAAATAAATAGAAAAAAGATTAGATATACTGTATACTGGTAATACAGAAGGCTTTGTAGAAAATAATTATCATCATATGCTCAGCCAGTGATAAATAAAAACAATCAGGTCAGTTTAAGGCAGTTTTACAGCAGGAGTCTCTAATCCAAAGGCATTACCGGCTACACTAGTTTTACTCTCTTTTGTTTTCAGTCGACAGCTACTGATCCACAGATCCACGAGCTATGTTAAAGCTAATCAGAGTGATGAGATAAGGTCTGTTCAGGCCTGCGAAGTCTGCTTTATATCCTACAGGTCATCTCCTCTCTTAGGTCTAGGAGCTAATAGCACTTGTGCAGAGATGCTAGAAAAATAAATTAACAGTCTAACGTTTTTTTTTTTAAAAAAAGAGCTTTGAGGATCATTTTAAGTGATGTTGGGGTGGGCGTGGGTGTGGGTTACAGGCCAGGAGGAGTCAAACACACACACACACCCAGAGGTTGCTGAAGTGTCCTCGAGCAAGGCACTGAAACCTTGCAAGCTGCGTGTGAGTGGATATGTGAGAGCATGCTTGGCTCTCTGTTTACCACAGAAAATGTGAATTATTTGACGATAATTTTTACTCGAAAAGACACAAATAAGCAAATTTTTCACGTGTCTTTGAGGAAGATTAGACTTCGGTGTGGTTTTGTCCTTTGGAGATATATAGCTACAGTGAAACAGAATTACTCCCAGAGTTACAACTTCTCACAAACCTCTTTACATCTGTTACTCAGTTTAAGGAAGTGTGCTTTAGGGTACAGATGTTTTTTATTTTTCAGTGGAACTCTGAAATCCTAAAAACAAAAAGAAACACGCGGGTGGACTCTGATTCCCGGTGTGTGCCAGTCCACAGTTCGGGATCAGCAGGCGGGGCGGAGCGGCATCTGCAGCAGGATCACCTGCCGGTTCTCGGACGGGTGGCATTTGTTGATGTGCCTCGTGAGTCCCGGTGAGCTGTAGAAGACTGCGGGGCAGTATTTGCACGAGTACACCTGTGAGGAATGCAGCAGGCGGATGTGCCGCTCCTGGCTGCCTCTGCTGGTGAAGTTCTCCCCACACACGGGGCACAGGTGGCAGCAGGAGGCGCTCAGGTTGAGCGGCGCCGCGCTCTGCTCGCAGCCCGCCGCGTCCTCCTCCTCCGCCGCTTTTGGGGACCCGTGCTGCGACGCCAGGTGTTTCCGCAGGTAGGCTTGGCGCTTAAACCTCTTCCCGCACTGACTGCAGTCGTACAGTCCGTCCTCTGAACCGGACTCGGACGGCTCGGGGCTGGGTGTGTCCCTGTCACTAGAATCCTTTGCTTCATCCGGGGCCGTCTTCGACGCGGACACCTTGTCGCTCGGCGTATTTTGCGGCTTCGGTTTGTGCCAGCGCCGATGGGAGGCGAGGTTGGCCGGGCAGCTGAACACCTTGTCACACTCGGGACACCGATACTCAACCCGGACTATCCTGGAGCATTTGTGCTGCGCCAAAGCGAACGGGTCTGCGTATGCCTCCCGGCATAGCTGGCACACAAACTCCCCCAGCGGGACGTGGTCTCCTCCGGCCGGTGGCGCTCGGGGAGGTTTCTGGTCCACCGGCGCCTCTTTAATCTTCAGCCCGAGAACCGGAGACGTAGTGACATCATCCTCAAAGTGCAGTTTGCGGATGGCTTTGGTTTTCTTGGACGGCGGCTTGCCTTTGCGCTCGGCGTCGTTGGCGCAGCGCTTGGAGCCGCCGGTTGCAGCGGCGGGGAGCGTCCCGGCGGATGACGAGCTGCTCTCGGGGCGGCTGCTGTTGCTGGAGCCGATCTTCAGGTCCACCGGGGCGAAGAGGTGATCCAGGGCGGTGATGGCTGCCGGTGTGGGAAAAGACTCCGCGGAAACCGGCGAGCCGAGGCTGAAGCGGGCCTCGGAGTAGGAGCGGTCGTGCTCGTGGCTGACGGGGCGGGTGGGGCTGTACAGAGACTGATACACCGCCTCCGGGTTCCCGAACTGCACGGGCTTAGCATCCGGCTCCGGAGCCGTAGCCGCCGCCCCGCAGGTGGGCGTAGGCGTCAGCGTGCGCACCGGGATGGAGACGAGATGCGCTGAAGAGGAGGAGGAGGGCGGCAGCAGCGGCGGAGCATCAGCCGCCGCTTGGTCCGTTTCTTCGTCCTCGGAGCGGACCCGGTAGGACACCGGGTTGGTTTTCTTGTTCCTTTTTACCAGGAATCCTCTGGGCATGTTTGCGGGGAGCTGAAGGCACTTTGGGCGCTGCGGGAAGAAGAAAACCACTTTCAGCCGCTCGCGCACAAAATCAAACCATCTGATGCGTCTTTTTTCTCTCTGTTTGTTTGTTTCCTCCTGCTATTGATCCCGTGTTCTCCTCTCGAGGTCCTTTCACCACAACATAGCTGCACTCTTTTTAAGGCGACATGATGACATTGTTCCCGTCCCCCCCTCGTTGCCTCATCCCCGACCAATCAGAAGGAGCCGAGGTCCCCTGTGGATTTGGGGAGTGGGTGTGGGAGGATGGAGAGGCTGATGGAAGCTAGGAGGAGGAGGGCGGATTTGCAGATTGCAAAGCAGATGTACCTGAGGGTTTTATTGTATTTCCCCCCACCACACACACACACACACACACACACACACACACACACACACACACACACACACACACACACACACACACACACA